AACCTTGCCCAGGTCTTCTCGATATGGATCCAGCGTCCTGAAACTGTTTCCTCCACAAATTTTAGACGACAAAGGGCGTTCGTTACCTGAGCCCCGTAACGACCTGCACTTGTGATTGTCCTACCTCCAATCTACTAATGATTCTCCATCTCCCTCCGTCATCCGTACATTGGGGGGCTATCCAGTTTACCTGATACTGTACGAAATTTATCTAACTTTTGCGAGAAACATGGCGAATGTCGTAAAGAAGCTTGGGCACACAAATCGCCCGTAAACTTCTTCCCGTGCTTTCATATTCCTCCCCCCCCCACATTCACATCTCCTAATGAATTTCAATTTACGTTTTTTATATTTTGTCCTCCGGAGTTTGCTAATTATTCACATAATAAATAAATTGTTAAACTAAGACAGTTGCATCAAAAAGTTGTATTTCGTTATTTGTAGAAAATGAATTTTTTATAAAACCTGACGTTGCCAAAACATGAGTATTTTTTGTCACGTAAACACTTTTGTAAATGAAAGTATATGACTATGACCAACGACTGCGAAAATGAAGGCCAGATATCCATATACACAATTTGAACATTCTAAGGCTAATCGTTGTTCAGCTTCGCGGGGATACACACATAAGTACATCCATTTGAAACCTATTTTACAATCCGTTTCGGAAAAAAGAGTGCTTTATTCTGTTTATATGACCGCAAAATATCGTCCAAATGGATTCCAGAACGGTCAAAATGGATTTTCCATTGAACTACGATACGCAAAATTTTACGTGATTACAACGCATTCTTTCCTTCATAAAAGGACGTAAAATCGTGTTTCTGGCATTGTTCCTATGTGCAGTATATACACCGTGTGTACAAGTCTTTACGCGGCCTTTAGTTTCGCAAGTTTGGTCATAAACATACAAAATATAAGTGACGCAAATATTCCTGTTTTGGAGTTTTTTTTAATTTAGGGGAAAAATTTGATAATATAGAAATTACAAAATTTGTCTTTTAATACGGCTCCTCGGTCTCTAAATTAAATAGTTAAACAAATTTTTTAGATGCTCATAATAATAATAATAATATAACAGTAAGAAAAAAATCTGAAAGGTTTTCAGATTTAAATTACGTCCAAAGGGTTTTTTTTTAACATTTGTGTTACCTTTATTATTAAATATCATGTTCTTTGCACTTAAACTATAAAATTCAGTTCAGGAGCAATGTCGCAAAATAATTTTAAAATGAGGATATCTTAGAATTTCCGATACACAGTTCCGCGCCCGCTGGAGATAAAAGGTTTATTTTCCCCCGCCGTAGAGTGTTTGCCATTGCTCGCTTTTAAATCGTTGAGTTTGTTACTTAAATATTTGTTAAAGTTTTACAAAATATGAAATCGATCATAAAACAAATTCCAAATTTCAAATTTGGTCTTCCACATTTCCATATTCGTAGGAAAGATTACGTCATTCAAAATTGGATGGCTCTAGGTACCGTTGTTTTATTCACATGCGAGAATGACATACAACATACTTTACGCAGATTTTTCATTATTTAATTTCTTCAAATATAATGCAGGACACTAAATTTGGTGGCAACAGTTTGAAAAGTGAAATGGGCATTTATAGTGATTCAACGCAAAATCGCAAAACGAAAACAATAGTCCTTCAGGGACAAAGCCCCTTTGGACTAATAAATCATGTGATCTGCATCCTGGTAGCATCCGAAGAAAGTAAAGGCAAAAAAATAATAAGATAACTGGTTAATAAATATAAAACCGTACAAGGAAAATGCAAAAACTCGTCTAGAACAACTCGGACTTCGATTGAGAGTATGAGTTTGAGTTAACCTGGCATTAAACTCTACACAGTATACTTCATAGGAAGGGTTTAGGGAAAAAATGATAACAAAAGTTACGCAGAGTTTTAGGTTTTTTCCTGGAAAAAGCTTAAAAATCTACGTACATTTTATTCTTCTTTACTTTAGTTTCTTGTTTTGAGAGCCATGCTGACAATTTTTCAGATTATAATTAGAACAGCTACTCCACGAAACTACGAATATAAACTGAAACTCAAAATTGTCGATGTATATCGTCTAACAGCTTGTATAATATTCAGTGCCCGGACATCTTTCTCTTTTTTTGCCCTTCTCCTTCCCCGCATTTTCTTTCGGTCTTCATTAAGTCACTGAATTCAGAATGTCTTAGTTTGATAAAATCTCAACAGCCTCCATTTTTTTTTTCAGTGAAGTCATTGTTTCCATATTTTCTTTATCTGAAGTTTGAAAATCTAGTACTCCAGAATCAACTCCAAAAAAACACGACGCTGCTATCTCTTCATCACAGAATTTTCTTCCTATGCAGCATCACCAAAAGGAGGAATTCTTGCTTTCGACGAAGTAAGTTTTAATTTTGTTCCAAGACATAACGGTGAGATGTATGATATTAAAACCTGCGAGTTTCTCTCCAAACTCGCAAGGTTTTCGTTTCCTTCCACGCGTCAGTCTCTTAAAAGCTGCCCGACCGAAATAGTGGTTAGCGACACTGAACGCTGTACCGAAGAGCTCGGGTTCGAATCCCGGAGAAGGGTGGATGTTTGTAAAGGTGTAGTGTTTGTGCGGTAGTCCTCTGTATGGTGTTCAAGGCTCTTTCTAATGAGAGGTGCATTTGACTCCTTATACCACAATGAATGTCGTGGGCTTGTGCTGACCTTTGTCAGACGAGAAATGAGACTAGTAACAACAACAAGTCTCTTAACCTTTTATTTCGGAAGATTGGAAATACTTAGGTTTTCAAAGCAATTGTTAAAATCTTCAATGTTTATACTGTAATTTCTAATTTGTTATTTCCATCGACATAGCATTCGATATAGAATGATTTGAAACCAACTAAGTTTATCTTAAAATTAAAGAGCGATTGAAACGACACTGCCTTAGGAAACAGGCCTGAAAAAAATATCAAGGCGAGCTACTAAAATACTGTTTTAAATATCTGTAAATGTTTCAATTCATTTTAACTGCATTGCTGTTTTTGTACTGTTGTAATATTATGCATCGCTTTATTTAGTTATTTATTGTTTAAATGGAATATATAACGATACATTTTGTATATAAATGCTTATTTCCTACACTGAATGGTAAATCTTTCAATTCTAAGCCCAAACATAATTAAATAGTAAAACACAAGCAGAGAACTAGACAATACAGATATGTTCATGATTGGCCTTAGCGACAAATGTTCCCAATAAGTTGACGATATTTCGTAATTAACTTAGCTACTTTCTGGAAGATTCGAGAAAAAAAGTTTTTGAAGTTATACGGCCGATTTTTATCGAACTTTCCAGAAGCTGGTGCTACACCAAACCCGTGCCTGTGTTGCATTATATAAATACAGCCCCAGGAGCTAGGAAGAATGTTGCTAATCAATTGCGAAATTTAGCGGCTCAAAGTGAGTTAGCCTTAAAAAGTTCTCCATGTTGGCATCCCTTCCCAGATAGCCCTCGCGCGCTTGGCCATAATTAAACAAAGCAAACCAAAGAGAGTTAGCCGAGTTACGATTTATTTTACTCCTTAGGTGATTTGGGGAACTGACCGTATTTTTCGCGCGCTGAGAAGGAGTTGCTTATATTCACGTTCTTTCGTAGAGCTCTTTTCAGCTTTTTATTGTGCTGCATATCGTAAGTTGCTTTGATAATAAATTGTCAATTTCTTCTTGCTTATTTGACATGATTATTTATAGTACATCAACAAACCTCTGGCTCTCAGCAATGCAGGATTAGGATTTACTGCAATGCAGAATTAGGATAGTAGGATTTACTGAAAAAGGAATTGTACACATTTTCTGTAAAAGGAAAAATGTACAACTCGAAAATGTTTTTTGATTGATAGCAAAAAAACACTTACATTACACACCATAAGAGAGGAATAACTGTATATTAAAATAAAAAGACAAAATGCAACTTAAAAATTTCTTTATGGTGCAGTACGTAACATTTAATTCTAGTACCATGAAAAAATTTTTTATTTAAATTTCACAATAGATTACCGATAATTCGGGATAATATAGGAACTATATCAACGATTAATGTAAAATTACAGTTAATCCGAAATCAATTAAAAATCACACAGGAAATATGAATAAGCTTTGCTATAAATAAGAGAGAAAATGGTATTCATAATTTACCTGTAGTTTATGAATATGGATTTGGAGAATAATTTCACATGGTTTCGTAAATATCACTTAATACAAGTGATTAATACATTTAATAAATGATATTCGTAAATATCATTTAATACAATCAGCATTTAATACAAGAAATTAATTAAAATTTTAGAATAACAATAAGAATATTTTACATTAAATTAAAAAAATTACAATTTAAAAAAAATGGAAATGTTTTACAACAATTAATTTATATCTATTTATTTCTATAGCTATTTATTATAATTAATTTAATTTTTGCGGAAGTAATTAATTTATTTTACAAATGTTTACATAAAACTTACAATTGACAAAATAGTTTATAAAATGTTTACAAATAATTAATTTATTTTTAAGATTATAAATTGTTATTATTATTTACTTTTATTAAATTAATTAAGCTATTTTTATTACAATAACTATTTTTAAGCTGTATATTTCATTTACTTGTACGATTTAGCGTATGATTGACAGTATTTTATACATAGCGCAAATTTTATACAATTAAATTATATACTGTTGTGGATCAAAACTCCCGAATATTATGACATCGTCTGATATTACTGTTAATATTCCACGCAATTTCTTCTCTTTTTCTTGCATTTTTCGTAGAATGTCTGCTTTATTCTGACAGCAATTTTTCTACCGTTTCGCAATAAACATACGTAACATTTTATTAAAGGAGACCTGGTTAACCCACAATTCCGTGAATCCGCCTTCGGTTAATCTGGTATTCACTGCACTTATTAGAATTAAATTGTTGTAGAAAAAAGCTTATTTTATCATTATTCAGAATGAAATAAGTAATTACTAATTTCTTACCCTAATGTCCAGCTTTTCGCATTCGCTGTAATTGGTCCACGTACCTTGAGACCATAACCCATCTTCCCCGCATCTTCTATAGGCCACAGCAACTAAAAAAAGTACAACGCAACTAGTTCAAACATTTCATTTAAAACTAATTCAAACATTTAACAAGCAAACTGAAAACCAGCAAGCAGATATATTGCAACGTACCATGTCCATGCCAGATTACATAATTTGTGAAAACACCGTAATTTATTGTTTAATCATTGTTTGTAAATTTAAATCCTCAGGTTTGAGCAAATTTTATTTTTTCAATGTACAGTAAAAGCTCGGAAAATGTCGAATGCCATGTAAGTGAGTGGAAATTTCAAGTAATAGAATAAAATGCTATTCACATTAAAAATATAAGACACACAAAAAAATTGCAATTCACATTAAAAATATAAGACACATAAAAAAATTGCAATTCACATTAGAAGAGCCAAACGAATGGACGATAAAATTTCCTGTTTAAACGTATAAAAATAGTCAACTTACTCGTTAACAACGGAATCACGCAAGCCTACATTTAAAATTATGTATGACAGTTATCTCAAACTTAATTTGCATGCGAGCGGTAAATTTGCGGACGAGCGGTAAAGACGCTGAACACTGGTAGTTCGGTCGGAGGTTCGAATCCCGCGAACGGGCTGGCTGCATGGGCGTTTCCGTGGTTTTACCCATGCCTAACGTGTATACGAGCCAGTTTGCCTTAGAAAGTCCTCCACGAAGGCATCCCTCCCTTTAGGCAGATAGCCCTCGTGCGCTTTGCCGTAATTAAATAATCCAATCCAATCCTTAATTTGCATGCCCAGTGCACGATATAAAAGCAGCTGATGAGCCGATTTTTTTAACGAAAATAAAAGTTTTTTTGACAAAACAAATATTTTAAATTAAATTTGAAACTTCGTTTACAAAATATTTATCAAAACATATATAAACAGTCATAATAATGATGCAAAGAAAAATTCTTTCTGAAATCTAAATATTGGTGACTGCAAGGAAATTTCTAATTGCTACACTTTGTAATTCAAACCTATTAGTAGCTAAATACTAAATTTTCAGACTGACACTTCAAATAATTCTAGTATGTTGACTTAATCACTTCAAATTTTTTGAAACCCACCTGCCTATTCAGGATTGCCTATTTTGCATGCTAAGGCCAAAAATGGTGGCCATTTTATTGTGCAGGCACCAAATAGGCGGCCACCGTTGCCTCCTACGAAGGGACGGACGGTTACAACCATGCTTTCTCCGAAATTCGAACCGGGGCCCCTTGGAATTACAATCGCTTCCTTAAGTACTACACCGCTTGGACGACCAATCACTTAAACTAAAAATAAACAAATTACGAAAGCTTTTCAAGAAACAGAATTTCAGAATAATTTATAACAATTTATCATCTTTCGTTTATTTATTGAAATTTTCTTTGACGCAAACAGAAAAAATACATATCAGTGGTTAAAAAAACAATAGAGCTCTCACGTTTAAGTCGGTTTCATTCTCTCACCTCTTACATAAAAGACATGAAACGTATTAATACTCAGATGATGCATCTTAGATTTACACCTTAGTATTTTTAAAACAGCAAGGGGACGTAACTAAATTAGAAATAGGACTTGAAAGAACTTATTGCTAAAGTTAGTAATTTGTTTTCGTATTTTATATCTTACATATGGGAAAATGTCAATAAAGTTACCATTTCTTAGTAACTGGATTTCATATTTTATATCTTACATACACACATGCACTTTTTTCAAGATACAAAATATGTAAATAAAAACTATAACTTAACTCATTTTAATTTGAGTATTCCTCTCTGTAGTCAAGAAATAGTAGTTGATTAAAGTAAACTTTTCTGACCTGCGTCATTTCTAGATTAATCCGTATCATACGACTTTTACGTAACACTCTGACGAAAATAGCTTACACAAAACTTCAGCCAATAATAATTTTAGAGTTTTATTGATTACCCAATCAAATGGTATTGAAACCGAAACTAACCCATTTTTAATTAGGATTTCATTCTGAAATACACGCTTCTGCTCCTTTTCCAAGCTAGACTTCTGCTCGCTGTTATTCTCTTCTTCTACAGCATCAAAAATGTAAATGTTAATGTTCTGGAACAGGCACGAATAGTGCCGCAAAATGTTTAACTAAAATAAAAGAAATGCTCTTTGCACTTAGGCAGTTGAGGAGATGGTTCCAATAGTAGTTATTCGGCGTGTTATTTTAACCTGAAAAGAAGCATTATTTAAATCTGCTATAACTATTTCTTATTGGATCTGTTACATCTGTAATTATATTTCATGCTTCAACATCTCCAATATGCGACATTTCCAAAACCATCCCATATATAACATATTAGAAAATGCTGCTGCGGTAAGGAACAATACTTATAGTGTGACGGAGATTGACGCATAAAGATGTTAGTCGTTGTGAATAGTTTAATTTTTTTTTATTCTTGAGAAACAGATTCATAACATGAATTACAGAGCGTAATGGGCGCAGTCTGCGCGCTCGTTTTAGATTACATCCGAGCTTTTTCTACATTTGTATAACAACTAATTTAAATGGGGAAAAGGATAGTAGGCTGCAAGCAAGTTGAGAAATAGCCGAAGAGCTGCAGAGTTAAGGCACTATTGGAAATAAAGCTTAGAATGTAAATTTATATATATGTATATTTTTTACCTTGCATAAATAGAGAAAATAAAAAGGGTTTTAAATCCTTCCCTCTGTTATCGATACCCTACGACAGCGTGTGTGTATTTTTGGCGGGAAGGGTGATATTCGTTGAAATTGATTTTATTATTGTTTAGTTTAGTTTATTTTTTGGGATGGGAGTCCGAAATGTTTGGCATCCCCATGCCTTAGTGGATGCACCACTATCTTTTCTTCAAATTTCTTGCTTTTTGTTTTTCGCTTTTAAAGTACCTTGTGTAACACCACGTCGTTATTTCCATGTATTTAATTTCAATATAAAAGTGATAAAAATATTTCGAGAATGCTATCCGTTTGTCAGCAGCCAAAGAAATATCACAAGGGCAGAAAAGGAAACATTGCAGGAAAACACTTGCAATTTAATAACGGAAGGGAAAAGATCATACAGAAAATCAATTCTCGGGTCTGAAATCTAATTTACTTAATATTAGCTATTCAGACCGGATCCTTCCTTCAGTTTATCTTTTCTGCCAGAATTCATTTTATAAATTTAAAAACGATAATCAGTTTCTAAATTTATAAAATGAAGAGGACCAAATCTCGGGACTCCGGATTAGCTTTCGATCATCAGCGAATAGAAAGAGGATTGTCCTTGATAACAAACATTTCACGAATGACGAAATTTATAAATATATTAAACAACGAATTTTTATTCAGCTGGCATGGAATTATAAAACAACAGAACTAAAGCATTTCCTTAAAGTAATTCAAAAGGATTTCTTGATTTGAAAGATTTCCCTTAAACAAATTAAATTCTTAAGTTCGCCAAGCCTGGATGCCGGAATAGGTTAAATTCGGTTTTAGTCACAAAGTAATTACAATACACATTTTTCATTTCTAGACGAAACATTGTTGATCGGAGAAATAACATAGCTTGAATAAGTTTGATCGATCAAAGGAAAAGACTTTATACTAGACTTGTAGATACTAGACTATACTAAATACTTGTAGATTTGAAGATCTTATTTTTCGGCTCAAAATATCTTTGTTATGGAACTATTTGCTTTTGTGAAACCAAATCAAAATAGCATTTATTTGAAGATCTAGTTCGAAACAAACATGAGCTTTTACGAAAATAAAAGCATAAGGAGAAGTATAAAAGATATGAAATATAATTATAAGAAATTTCTAAAGTCGCCCTGATATGTATAGAGGTAATTTCTGTTGTATCGTTCTTTGAGCTTAGGTTCGATTCCAGGAGAAGGTTTGGGCATTTTTACATAAATGTATATTGTCTGCGTGGCATGGGATACACAAAATATACAGCGAGCCGAAAGCCTTTACGAGTGGTTTGGTGGTAAGAGAAAAGTGATGAGAGACACTCGGACAACCCCGGGGTACTCTCCATCAAAACTGAGGCAGAATTGTACTGTCCCTATATATTGTTCACGATCTATAGCAGCGAAGGACGCAGACTTGCGCTCTTTGTCACGATAACATTTGTAACTTGTTCTGATTAGGTCAGCCAAGTGAGATAAGCTGCAACAAAGGAAAATTTCCTACAACAAAGGAAGAACAGGAAGCCCCACATTATTTTTATTCATATCATATAATACTTTTCCTCATTTTAATTAAACTTTTCCTTATTTTAAATAAAATATCTGATGTGGACATCACTTGACTTCCTTTTGCAGTCTATTCAATTATACACATTCTTGCTGCACTTCATTTAAACTTATTTCCTCCAATTTCTCACTTCATGGCAAAGCAAAAATACATAAAAACTCAATCTTCATTAATAACTGTAAAATCAAGAATACCCTAAAGCACCAAATACAGTTAAAACAGTTAAAAAATGTTTCTTTACAATTAAAAATTAAAATTTCTACATAAAAACAAGCAAGTCGGCCAGCGGGCAGGAAGACAGATTTTTCGGTGCAGAAGATTGAAAGTTTACTTTTGGTTCCACTCGTCAAAAAGCTTCTGATTTTGCACAAAACTGATTTTATTCCCTGTTCTGCTAACAGTTTCAAATGTGAACAAACGGCGGCCTCGCCAGGCTTATCTTAAACTTTTAAATTGCCGATAATTCTGCAACTATTGCATGCAGATTAACTAAAGGTTTAAAAAACCTTAACCGGAACATAAGAACAAGATAATTCAATCACTTTTAAAGCAAAAAATGCACAATTTACCAATATATAAAAACGCTGGACTCACGAGCCGGGTAGTAGTAATCTTAAAACAAATTATTTTTAGAAAAATGACGAAATCTAACTTCTTATAGGGTCTCCAATTACTATGTGGGGACACCCTATAAGAAGATCCCACCCCACATAGTGATTGGAGACCCTATAAGAAGATCTGACCCTATAAGAGACCCTATAAGAGATCCTATGGGAAAATC